CTTTCTTTTCAAAACCCCTAACAAACACGATCATGTTTGTTCGCCGAATGCCACTGATCACCGCTTCCTTCCTTAGAGTTTTTTGCTTTATTGATGATTTGGGTGTAATTGTTTGGAGTTGTTTTGTTGGAAATCGACTAGTGAAGTTGGTTTAGAAGTGTTTGTGGTTGTGTGAAATTGTTTTTCCGGTCGCTGAATTAGAAGTGTTTGTGGTTGTGTGTGATTGTTTTTTCTGTTGCTGGAATCAGAGATAGTGAATGAAAAAGAAGAAAAGAGAAGAATAAGAGAGAAGGGTATTTCTATCTTTACACAGTTTATATCATGTGACATAATGTATTTTCCTAACGGAACATAACAGTAGGTGGGAAAAGTGTCGTTTTGAAAGTTGATAGGTGAGAAAGTGACATTTTGAAACTTGACGAGTGAAAAAGTGTCGTTAGACCAAACCTTGGGTGGGAAAAATTCGTTTACTCTTAACTAACTCACAATCCCTTACCATTAGGCCTGTTTTGTTTGTTTTAATAGTAAAAGTGGTAAATGAGTAAATGACACTAAATTTTTGTAATTATGGAAATTAAAAAAAGAAAAGCTTTAACAACCTAAACCCATCGCAATTCCACCACACCATGCTCCGCCCTTCCTCACCCTACGTTATCCTTTCCCCCTTCTAACCCTTCCTACCACTCCACTCCTTTCCTACCCTCACCCACCATCTATTGCCCACTAGACTTCCACCCTATCACATCGCCACCCACTGTTAGGGATGGGTGTTTNATTTATGTCATTTTATTACTTATATAAAAACCCTAAATCCTCTCAAATTGCTACAATGTTACTGCTATTGCCGCTGGCCGATTCAAACCGATTTCGATTTGTTTTCTCACCAAAACTAATGGAAATCTTCACTTCTTCATCCATTTAGCCTTATCCTAGCCTAATTGTCTGTCGGAATTACGCCGTTTTCCACAGAAAAACCCAACCCCTCGACCCGCTGATCTAGGCCAAATCAGCCTGTTTCCGTTGTCATAGACCTCCCTCGACTCCACCAAAATACTCCCCTCACCTCCCTCATCAAAACCCTTACCACTCCACACTTGTTTAGCTCGCCATTCGCTAGTCACCGTGATTGGCTTGTTTCGCGCACCCCAAGATTTTTCGGTCGATCCTGTCATCGGAAATCAACCCCGACACCACCAAACACACCATCGGAACTTTCTCTTCAAAACCCCCAACAAACATGATCATGTTTGCCCGCCGAACGCCACTGATCACCGCTTCCTTCCTTAGAGTTTTTTGCTTTATTGATGATTTGGGTGTAATTGTTTGGAGTTGTTTGTTGGAAATCTACTAGTGAAGTTGGTTTAGAAGTGTTTGTGGTTGTGTGTAATTGTTTTTCCGATCGCCAAATTAGAAGTGTTTGTGGTTGTGTGTGATTGTTTTTTTGGTCGTTGGAATCAAAGGTAGTGAATGAAAAAGAAGAAAAGAGAAGAATAAGAGAGAAGGGTATTTCTGTCTTTACATGATTTATACCATGTGACATAATGTATTTTCCTAACTGAACATAATGGTTGGTGGGAAAAGTGTCATTTTGAAAGCTAATAGGTGAGAAAGTGACATTTTGAAACTTGACGGGTGGAAAAGTGTCGTTAGACCAAACCTTGGGTGGGAAAGAGTCGTTTACTCTGAACTAACTGACAATCCCTTACCATTAGGACTGTATCGTTTGTTTTAATAGAAAAAGTGGTAAATGAGTAAATGACACTAAATTTTTGTAATTATGGTAATTAAAAAAAGAAAAGCTTTAACAACCTAAACCCATTGCAATTCCACCACACCACGCTCTGCCCTTCCTCACCCTACGTTATCCTTTCCCCCTTCTAACCCTTCTAACCCTTCCTACCGCACCACTCCTTTCCTACCCTCACCCACCATCGATTGCCCACTAGACTTCCACCCTATCACATCGCCACCCACTGTTAGGGATGGGTGTTTGCCTTGGCCTCGTAAGGATCTGGCCCAAATGGGGCAGAGAATCTCTAGAAATATTGAGGATAGGGTTGAGGATGGTCCTAAAAAAAATCCCCACCTCCAGGGATAAGCCAGAGGAGGGGATTGTGCAATCCCTAACCCGCCCCGACCCCTCAACCCCGCCCCCATGGAGCCCCGCCTTCTTTTATTGAGAATTTTATGTTTTTTTTCCTTGTGAGATTGTATAAAAAGTTAAAGTTTAAATCATAGTTTTAAGTCATGTATCTAAATTTATAATATTTACTTTTATAATATTTATAATATTTGTATTAAATTTATATAAAAAAAAAAAATTAAACGAGGGAGTCTAATAATTAAATATATGTATTATTACTTGGTGAATTTCACAAAATATTAATACATGACCTAAAAATAAATTTGATTAGATTATTACAATTTACCAAATCAATATAAGAATATACACAATTGCTTAACGACTTACAAATTACATACATTCAATTATACTTGTAATTAATTAATTGATCAATTAAATATGATGTTAAACTTAATCAATGTTGGGAACTTGGGATAATGGGATTTGTCCCTTTTACAAATGGAATAATTTTATTAGTTGTAGTGGAGATAGTGTTTTATGAATTAATTTATCAATTTACCTAATAAATTATGTTAAGATTGAATTTAGTTATATTAATTTTGTGAAAAATTAATTAATTAACAGGGTTAACTAAGCCTAAGCCTCCATACAATTGAATAATTAATTAATTTATCTAATAAATTATGTTAAGATTAGTTATAGATAGAGTAATACTACACATACATCATGGTTGATTAAGCCTAACCAACTAAGCATTCATACAATTAGATAAGTAATCAATTTACCTAGTAAATTATGTTAAGATTGAATTTAGTTATGTTAATTTTATGAAAAATTAATTAATTAACAAGGCTAACTAAGCCTAAGCCTCCATACAATTGAATAATTAATCAATTTACTTAATAAATTACATTAAGATTAGATATAGATATATTTAATTATGTTTGGGGGAAAAATCCCCGCAAGGGAATTTTCCTGCAAAGCCTCGTTCATTGGGCCGAGCCAGGATAGGGATGGGAGTGATTCCATCCCCACGGGTTGAGGATGGTCATGAGAGTTGTTCCCACTAGTAGGGACATGCCAAGAATGGTCATGGGAGTGAATATCAGGGACGGGGACAAGGAAGAAGGAACGGGGTGGGCCCGCGCCCATCCCTACCCACTGTGTCATCTCCTCACTAATTAATCTGTTTATTTTATTATTATTATTAGAGTAAACGACATGTTCCCACCCAAGGTTTATTGAAATTCTTAAGTGATACCACTGGTTTCATAAATTCCAGATTCCCACCCTTAAATGGATGTCGTTAGTGACGATATAGGGGCATATGGTTCTTTTACCAAATTACCCTTGGACCTTCTCCTTCTTCGTCTCCCCTTCTCTTCTTCGCAGCCCATTCCAAACCCACCCCACCCCATCCCTAACCACCACCACAGCCTTTTTCTTCTTCTTCTTCTTCTTCTCCTCCTCCTCTCTTTCTTCTTCCCTTTTCTCCCTTGTCGGAATAAGCTCCGAGGCGGCTGGATTTGTGGCGGTTTGTGGTGGTTTTTGGGTGGGTTTGTGGTTGTTTTTGGATGGATTTATAGCTGAGTTTGTGGTGGTNGACTTACAAATTACATATATTCAATTATACTTGTAATTAATTAATTGATCAATTAAATATGATGTTAAACTTAATCAATGTTGGGAACTTGGGATAATAGGATTTGTCCCTTTTACAAATGGACTAATTTTATTAGTTGTAGTGGAGATAGTGTTTTATGAATTAATTTATCAATTTACCTAATAAATTATATTAAGATTGAATTTAGTTATATTAATTTTGTGAAAAAATTAATTACTTAAGAGGGCTAACTAAACCCAAGCCTCCATACAATTGAATAATTAATTTATCTTATAAATTATGTTAAGATTAGATATAGATATATTTATTTTATGAAAAATTAATTAATTAACAGGACCAACTAAGCCTAAGCCTCCATACAATTGAATAATTAATCAATTTACCTTATAAATTATGTTAAGATTAGATATAGATATATTTATTTTATGAAAAATTAATTAATTAACAGGGTTGATTAAGCCTAACCGACTAAGCCTTCACAATTAGATAAGTAATCAATTTACCTAATAAATTATGTTAAGATTGAATTTAGTTATGTTAATTTTATGAAAAATTAATTAATTAACAAGGCTAACTAAGCCTAAATATCCATATAATTGAATAATGAATTAATTTACTTAATAAATTATGTTAAGATTAATAATAGATATATTTAATTATGTTTGGGGGAAAAATCCCTGCGAGGGGAATTTCCCCGTGAAGCCCCATTCATCGGGCTGAGCCGAGACGGGGATGGGATCACTCCCATCCCCTATGAGCTGAGGACGATCATGAGAGTTGTCCCCACCAGTGGGGATGGGGTGGGAATGATCACGAGAGTGAATATCAAGGACAAGGATGGGGACCGGGTCCCTGGCCCACGCCCATCCCTAGTCCCTACCCACTGTGTCATCTCCTCACTAGTTAATCTGTTTATTTTATTATTATTATTATTATTTTGAAATCAATGGTGTTTGTGCACTTGAACTGTGCATGGCGTGGGATATGGGTTAGATTTGGAAGGGTTGGGGTAGGGTCGTTGGGCATGGAATCCAAGGGCATTAAAAATTTAAAATCATTTTACTTTTTATTGTTAAAAACTAACGAGAGAATATTGACAATAGGGGCTTGTGGGTTAATACTGAAACCTCAGGGGGTTTACTGGTTTCGGCCAAACCTTGGAGGGTTCAATTTATCCCAATTTTGAGGGTCTGTTTAAAAAGTGCGAAAGTTGTCATCCGAATGTAAATTCGGAAACATTAAGTGCAGTACTGTAATTCTCCCAGAAGTGTTAAAAGCCGTCCCCTTTGTGATTTTTAGGAACTCCAAGGATGATCTTGTAATTAAACCCACCGTTACCTTAAATAACGAAAGAACCCTGAACCCTAATCTGAAATTTGCTTTTAACACTGTTAACGAAACAAATTTCCCTCTTTTGCGCCTGGGCTGCCGCCAACTCCCAGTCATCACCGCCACGTTGAACCACCACCAGTAGTCGACATTCGAATCTCCGGAACCGGGAACCTAGTCTTCATCGGTGAGTGTCTCCGGTGTGTAGTATTAGTTTTTCTTTTTCTAATGTTTAAATTTATATAGGCATTTGAAAGAAGAAATCTCTGTTCCCTGTTTTGGGGTAGGGCTTTGGGGCAGAAGCAGAAGCGGAACCTAACTTGGGAATCACCATGGCCGACGACGATTACAATGATGTGGATATGGGGTTAGTCCTCTCTTTTCTATAATGTAGACTTATGGTTTCAATCTTCTCCTTTTTATTTGCTTTTTCATTTATTTATTTTATTTCTCTTTGGCATCTTTGTCATGACCTAGAGATACTAACGATTGTATGTTCCTATTTATTTTTTTAAATTAAAAAAAAAAAAAAAGTTTCTGTGTTCAACTTAAAAACTTGCTTTCAGACGTGGTATGTTGGTGTTATGTCGTAGATACTAGATTGTGTCCAAGTTGCGATTATCTTTACAGTTTATTCTTAAACTAACTATTACAACATAATGCATATGTTTATGCATTTTTTAGGTATAAGCTTTATGTTTTTTTCTCTTTTTAGTTGGTTATTGAGTAAATTTTTGTTGCAGATATGAGGACGAGCCGGTGGAGCCTGAGATTGAAGTAAGGAGTTAGTTTGATTTACTTACTGAAAAGACAAGATGAATTTTTGTTTCTTTTTCTGTTTTAATGAACTAACATGAACTTTGGTTGAGTGTGTTTGGACAGGAAGGAGTTGAGGAGGATGTAGAGAACAATAACAATGAAGATGTTACAGGAGAACCTATTGAAGCTGAGGACAAAGAAGATGAGGAAGTTAAAGAAGGAGCTCGGAAAACATCAAAATATATGACCAAATATGAACGTGCCAGAATCTTGGGTACCAGGGCTCTGCAGATCAGGTTTTTATTCCCCTGTTATTTTTCTGTAAACACTATAAATTTATATTTTGTTTTATTTTCTGGGTCAAAGCAATAATCTGTTTTCCTTTTCATTGATCAGCATGAATGCTCCTGTGATGGTTGAGTTGGAGGGTGAGACTGACCCACTTGAGGTAAGATTCTTTGAAAGAAATGTTGATGATTATAATTTTTTTCCTTTCTACAGTTAGGATGCTACTGGTTACACCCATTGGATTCTAACAATTAACTTGTTAACCGTGTTCTGTTTGCTCATAATGGACTGCGCTTGAGGGTTCTGTTAATTATTCACTGCTTTAAAGATACTTTTGGTCATAAAAAGTTGAATGTGTAAATTAGACTCTGCTTATGGACGTATATTTGGCCTGTGTTGAAATGATCATGAAGAATGAACATATGAAATGGTGGATTGGAATTACATATGCCATTTATATTCCATACCCCCCCCCCCAAAAAAAAAAAAAATAATAATAATAATAATAATAACTAAGACATCCAATTTTTGCTCCTTATTTTGATTTTATAATGAAATATGGACTTTTATTGGTAAACTATCTGTCATGGTACATAATTCACTTAATTGTAATGGTGCTTCTTTATAGTTATTCTATATTAACAGAGTTGTGCTTCCATTCGTAAAATTGTAGGCTGTGCTGTCAATATTATTGCCTTAATGTTGTGGCTTACATCTTGTTTTGTAGCATTTTCAAACTGGAGTGTAGTGCTCATGTTCAATGCCCCACAGTAATTACAGTAGTTGCACCTAGTTAATAGGTCTTTTCCTGTTTCTGTCACCTGGTTGGGACTCTTAACTCCCCTTGCACTTTCTTTTAATAAATAAAATAAAATGTTGGGCCCTACTACAAGGGTATCTCTTTAATTAAGTGTTTTAATTTTGGCTATGCATTTTTTGTCCCAACATTTTCGACATAAAGGCATTTGTTCTGCAGTAACATTGTCGTGATTTTGCTCTTCTGTATTATGTATTAAATAAGAGCTTTTCACTTCATTAGTTAATCTACTGATATCATATGATGTTTTTTTTTTCATGCTACAATTTAAAGATGTTGCATTCTATCTGTTTAGATTGCTATGAAGGAGCTTCGGGAGCGAAAAATCCCATTTACGATTCGTCGTTACCTTCCAGATGGAAGGTGAGATCCTTAATTCATAATACTTTTTTATTTTTTTTAGCAAAATGGTTTGATTGATGGAATGTTAGTTTGAGTTACTGCTAGTGGAACTTTCTCAAGAAACGAATATTTTGTGCTGTCTCTATTTGTTCTTTATTACATATAAAATATCCTTCATAAATAATGTACATTTCTATGGATTTTGCATGACTTTCCAGTTACGAAGATTGGGGAGTTGATGAATTGATTGTTGAAGACTCTTGGAAGAGGCAAGTGGGTGGTGGTTGATGACAGCCTCAACCTAACCAACTGGCTTTAGACTTTGCATGAGTGGTAAAAGCAATTGTGGGTTTTAAACTAATATCATTTAGATTTTTCTGAAGAGTCATTTTTGGCCTCAATGTCATGTATGTTGTGAGGTTGGATGTTTGGTTTCTTCTTCAATTATGTATATAACCAGAAAAGATCTTGTATGAGTTGCTGCAATATATCCAGGATGAAACCAACTTTTTCACTCGCTGTTTATGAACAACTTATTTTTTAACATTGGTGCAGTTTCTCATTCCCAACAATGATGGAGAACTGATGCCAATATGGAGATCTGATGTTTGATAGAATTGTGCTCAATTTGCTAATTAACTCTATGATGATGGCAATGAATCTAAAATAAATGGAGATTTTAGACTTGGATGGTGTGATGCATAAAATGATGAACTCTTTGGAATTGATTAACTTTTCGTATGGTTTAGATGTGGTTATTGCTCAAACTTGTAATTTTGTTGCAGCTGCATGTGAGTAATGTTTTAGTTAAATGCAACTGCTTTAAATTTACAAGGATTTTCAATGCACACTAACAAATAATCTTGCAGTGTCCGTGGAGGAGAAATGCTTAAGAGAACCATATTCTAGAATTCAACCACTAAGCTATTCACAAATCACACAAATAAGAGATTATAAAGGTCAAAATTCATGGGTCTAGACAATAAGTCAAGAAAATGATTTAGATATCTAACGAGGTAAGGCTTCTGTTGTAACCGAAATATCAAATATGTATACTTGGGAACATGTTCTCGTATTTTACAAATGGCATATTTTTCAAAGTAGCAGTCTCTGTTATTCTTTTTATATTTTGAAGAATTGCTAGCTTACATACAAATTCTTGATCATTTTGTGTTTCATTTATTTTACTTTTTTACTCATTCAACCATATTTTATATAAGCATGATTAGTACATCGTTTTGACTTTTCGATAACATGTATAAAGTTAATTTTTGGACCTAATTATGTTCTCTTTTCCTAGTTTATAGATGAATTTATGAGAAATTAGTAATGGGATTTGTTGATCCGTGATTTTGATACCAACGAAAAAGCACGTGTGAAGCGCTGAGTTGACCCAGGAAACACACGTGTATATAACTAAAAGTCATAATAAATGCAATGGGGAGAGATTTTAAAGTGGTTCAGATGCTAAAGTAGCAAATCATACGTTCACTGATGGTTGTATTAATGATAGGGGTCATATCGCGTTAGCGGACTAACTTACAAATGATTCACTGAGTGACAGTACAAGAGAGAGAATGCTTTCTTTTTCTTAGGAGAGAATAGCTAATCAAGAGTAAAAATGGGCCAATCCCGCAAATGAGAGAGTCATCTCCAATTTATAGTAGGATGAATTGAAGTAATGATCATTGAATCTGTGAGTTGGTGGGAGTGTCAGGGCAAATCCTTCTTTATGTCACATTGCCCACCTTCTAGAGTGATTTGCGCGATTTGGAGCAGGAATTGAACACGTGAGATCATCGCAGCTTCTGGCTGGTCTGGCACGCACCTACTGTTCTGACAGAAGCAGGCCGCCCTTTCCTTCACGTGACTTGGTTATGGTGTGCCCATACTCTTTCGCACGCTGACTGGACCCTACTTTAGCCCTATATTTTTCGGGCATAACAGAAATATTTCAATATGACACTAAAAACTTCAAATACTAGAATTTACCAGAGTTTATAGAAGTTGCATCATCGCATTGTAGTGGAAGAAAAAATTGTAAACAAATGTCTTCCTTTATTAACTCTAGTGCAAAATTCACTAGAAGGCCCAAAAAACAGTTTCCCACAATAAAAGAAACATACATTGAAGAATATTAATAAGCTAATTAAATTTAACAAATGAAATCCATGCACAAAAGCATGTTGATTATAACAACCACTTCAAAATCTTGTCTACTTCTCTAGTCTTCCTTTTTGATCTCGTTTCTCCAAAAGATATCAACGGAGGTATAGCACTCCAACAGAAAAACAGCAAATGTATGATTCCCACTAGAGAATTTGAAACAATTTTTTTATTCTTGAAACCAAAACCTGCAATTTAAAACAGCCAAATGATGAGTTATGAGTAAACTTTCTGATTAGATGTTTGATATGCTTAAAAAAGAGTGAAGGAATGATGAGTTATGAGTAAACTTTCTGATTAGATGTTTGATATGCTTAAAAAAGAGTGAAGGACACTTACTTGAATCCTGAATGAAGGTGGCTAAGCTGTTTAAGCTTAGTAATGAGTTGGTGGTGGTGGTGGAGATGCATAAATGTAAACTGGGGGTGGAGGTGACTTTATGGGTGGTGGAGGAGAGCTGTAGTAGTATGGGGGCGGGGGAGATGGTGAAGGTGGTGGAGGGGACTTGTAGATATAGGGAGGTGGTGGAGATGGTGAGGGTGGTGGCGGTGATTTGTAATTGTAAGGAGGTGGTGGGGAATGTACTGGTGGAGGTGGGGATTTGTAGTAGTATGGAGGTGGCGGAGAATGTATTGGTGGTGGAGGGGACTTGTAGAAGTAAGGAGGTGGCGGTGAATGTACCGGTGGAGGTGGGGATTTGTAGTAGTAAGGAGGTGGTGGGGAATGTACTGGTGGCGGTGGGGATTTGTAGTAGTAGGGAGGTGGAGGAGATGGCAAGGGTGCTGGTGGGGATTTGTAATAGTATGGAGGTGGTGGGGAATGTACTGGTGGTGGTGGAGATTTGTAGTAGTAGTGTGGAGCTGGTGAAGGAGATAGTGGTGGTGGGGATTTGTAGTAGTATGGAGGTGGAGGAGATAGCAACGGTGGTGGTGGGGATTTGTAGTAATAGGGAGGTGGAGGAGATGGCGATGGTGGTGGTGGGGATTTGTAGTAGTAAGGAGGTGGTGGGGAATGTGTTGGTGGTGGAGGTGATTTGTAGTAGTAGTGTGGAGCTGGTGAAGAATGTACTGGTGGTGGTGGGGACTTGTAATAATAACTCGGTGGAGGAGATGGTGAAGGAGGTGGTGGTGACTTATAGTAGTATGGTGGTGGAGGAGAATGCACTGGTGGTGGCGGAGACTTGTAATAGTACGGTGCAGGAGAATGCGCTGGTGGAGGTGGTGACTTATAGACATAAGAGGGAGTTGGTGGAGGTGGTGACTTATAGACATAAGGAGCAGGTGTTGGTTTAGGTTTAGGCTTGGATTTCTCACATCCCTTGTAAGGAGTCTTAGTAGCATAAGTAAATGCCTTAGCTTGAAGCACAACTTCATGCTTGTCCTCTGATTTCACCCTAAGTTTGGCCGCCTTGTTACCATTGTGTAGTTGAGTGGGAATGTTGCATGGTGAATTCTTGGGAGCCTTGTAGAGCTTGGCCTTGCAGGCTTTTCCTCCATATTTTCTATATTCAAAACCTTCAATGGTAATGCTGTATTTTCCATTGCTCTTGGTCTTGCCATATGCCTGTATCTTCTTCTCTCCAGCCTCGCATGTCACCTCAACTACGGCACCTGTTCCATATATGAGCCAAAATAAAAATGACACATCAAAATTTTGGTAAAATTGCCCATTATTTAATCTATTCTATATTTTAGTCACAAAAAATCAAGTCAAAATTATGATAATAACTATATTCTTGTATTAAATATAATATAATCCCAGAATTATATCTGATAATGCTTTGGTCGTTAATTAGCTTGTACAGCAAATAACAAGATAAAATGAACCATGCTAACTATAATATATATGTGCCAATTTCAATAGTTTTATGGACGCCATGCATTAAATATTAATCAAGTAAAAAGAGAAAAAAAAATATATATATATCAGATGAAACTTAGAACACAAACAAAAATTTTGAAAGGTCCGTAAAAGATATTTCCGTTTGATATATAATTTAAATACAGTTTTTTTTTTTTTTTTTCTTTTTTGAAAACTAAAGATACAATAAATCTTAAGAAAATGCAATTGTTTGGTAGATATCAGTGGAATTGTCTTCAAAAACAATTTTCGAATACAAATCCTAAAAACTAGTCTAAAATTAGAAAACCATTAAAAAGCGTTTCAATAGTATTCAATAGTTTTTAATCTGAAAACAAATTTTACATATTAATTCAAACACATATTTAAATGTTAAAAATATTATGACAAACACATATTTAAATATTAAAAATATTATCATACAATTCAAAAAATTTGAATCATATTTCAGATTTTGAATATTATTTATCAAACAAATTTATAGATAGTTTTATGAATTAATAATAATAAGTTTAAACAAATATATACCTTTGAGATGTTTCTTGTTGTGTGACTTCACTGGATGTTCCCAGTCGTAGCATCTGTAGCAGTAAACTTTTCCTACCACTTTGACTACCAAATGACGAGGGTGAGGCTGTGGGTGTGGGACAGGTGGCGGTAGAGATTTGTAGTAGTATGGCGGTGACACATTATGAGCAGGTGGTGGTGGAGATTTGTGATAATATGGTGCTGGCACTGGTGGAGACTTCACTGGAGGTGGTGGATATTTGTAGTAGTAGTGTGGAGCTGGTGAAGGAGATGGTGGTGGCGGAGATTTGTAGTAGTAGTGCGGAGCTGGTGGTGGTGGAGATTTGTAGTAGTATGGAGGTGGAGGAGATGTTGAAGGTGGTGGTGGAGACTTGTAGTAGTAATGTGGTGGAGGAGTTGGTGAAGGTGGTGGTGGAGATTTATAGTAGTAAGATGGAGAGGGAATTTCTTGGGGAGGAGGAGGACTTGTAGTAGTAAGGTGGAGGTGGTGAAGGAGATGGTGGAGGTGGAGACTTGTAATAGTAATGAGGTGGAGGAGTGATGGTAAGGTGGTGGTGGGGATTGGTAGTAGTAGATGGAGCAGGAGATTTCTTGGAGGTGGAGGAGACTTGTAGTAGTAGGGTGGAGGTGGTGAAGGAGATGGTGGTGGCGGAGATTGTATAATAGGTGGTGTAGGAGATTTCTAGGTGGAGAGGAGACTTATAATAATAGGTGGAGGTGGGCGAAGGAGATGGTGGAGGTGGAGACATGTAATAATAAGTGGTGGAGGAGGAGATGGTGAAGTGTGTGGTGGGTTTGTAGACATAAGATGGAGCAGGAGATTCTTGGGAGGTGGAGGAGACTTGTATAGTGGGTGGAGGTGGTGAAGGAGATGGTGGGTGGCGGAGATTGTAAACGTGTGATGGGGTGGCGGGGACTTGTAATGTATGTGGAGGTGGTGAAGCCGATGGTGGTGGTGGGGAATTAAACATAAGGTGGTGGTGGAGAGGAGAGAGTGGGGGAGGAGAATAGTAAGGATAAGCATCAGCATACACTTGAACTACATTACTTGAAACAAGTCATCTGGCCAATGCCACACACCATGGGGTCCAAAAACCGCCCCCTAGCCGGCTTCTACCCGGAATCGCCATTG